CTTGTGCATATTCAGTGGCATAATTTAAATTGAGCTTCTTTTGCAAGGGCAATTATTCCGGTGCGCTTTTCTTTTTCCGCAAAAGGGTGGCGCGGGAAAAATGTAGACGCTCGGTACTGAAAAATGTAATAAATAGCGGCGCTTTGGTATTCATTTTATTTTATTGTTTGTACTTTTAGCGGGCGGGTTTAAAGGCGTTGGGGTGTTTTATGATTCGAAACAGGATTTCATCGGGCCGGGGATCTACCCTTTAAGGCCTCCCCTCTTCAATTTCAGAATTGCCTTCATTTCCCCCTTTATCGACGCGTTTTGATGTCGTTCCCTCGACGGAATCCCATTTAATTGGGGCTTCCTCGTTTTTCGTTTTTCCCCGCCGGGCACGCCATTATCAACTCGGGAATACTTTCCGCAAACATAACGTTTACGTTAATAGACGGTTCGGCAAATTCGGTTTAACTTTGTGGCTCTCACTCGGAGAGACCGCGAGTGTGGTCACCGTCGGATTTCTGCGCCCGGAAACTCTGTATGCAAAACCGTTCGGCGCAACTTAATTTCCCGTTCGGCGCAAATCTACCGCGGGCATTTACTTTTTTTGTAAATATTTAGAGGGTCGCGGAAATTCTTTGAATAAATAACGGGGCGGGCTTTGGGAAATTCGGCCAGGGGAGTGGAAAGTGGCCGAACCGGCGAGTGGACGTCGAGCGTCGAGACGAATTAAAAAATTATTGTCACCGAATAAATGTGCAATTTTTTCACCGATTACCGTCGAAAAGAGAAAAGCAGTAATAGAATCCGGGAAGACACGAGGTTCGGAACTTGTTCATAAATCTAGGGACGTTGCGTATCGATATAATTCTTTAGGGCTCTCCGTGGTTAGCTCGATTTTCTCCGTTTCTCTGTATCGGCCCGTCTTCTCGGCTCGTCTCGGTGCAATTGCTTCGGGAATGCAGTACGCTGAAGGCGTACACGAACGGTTTGATTATTCGAGGTACAAACTCGAGTTCTTGCCCCGGAAGGGAAACTTCCGAACTTCTCCCTCCCCTCGGGACTTATTTCAGGTGCATCGGCAAATGCAACGCGCTTTTCTTCCTCGTTCCCCAATTTTAGGGTCGCACGTCGAATCGGAATCGGGCGCCGCAGGGGTGCGACGTATCTGCCGAATGAAAAGTCCAGATAACGGATCAAATGACAAGGGCATTACAGATTGCCCCGAGTAATTGCATCCCGGTGCATCCGCAGCTGCAGGCGATCAAAATGATTGCGTTAGTCCGGCGGCAAACCGACCGCAGCTGTGGGTCAGAAGGTTCTATTTGTCAGGTTGAACGTCCATCGATCCACCAATCCTGGTAGCCATCGACCTCCGGAACGTGAGGAAAGGGTTGGACAGAATTTTCCCGATTCACCGTCGTATTTGAAGCGATCGATTTTTTTTTTCCCCGGTTTATTTAAACTTCGGCAACGACGAAAAGCGCTTACGCGTTTCGGGATTTTCTGGGGAAAGCAGCTGGAAGGGTTCCGGTCGCGATCGAGGGAAGGGACGATGTCGGCTCGGCGATAAGTCGAGCGCAGTCTTAGATAGAAGAAGGTCCGTCTATTTGTCACGTCGAGAAGCCATCGATTTCCCAAAGGGTACTCCCGAAATGAGGAAGAATCGCGAGAGATTCCGTAAAGCGTCGAATCCGTCGCGACGGAGAGATATTTTCCCATTTGACGCCTCCTCCGGCCGGGTCGTCGATCCACGTTAAGCTTATCTGGCTTTCGATTTCTATTTAGGTTCTCGGGGCTCTCCGAATCTCGACATCGGAGGTCCGATCGAGTGGACGACTTATCTCCGCGTTTCCGAGGAGACCGGATCCTCAAAATGTCCATTTTCGTTATAAAACGCGCCCGAGTAGGTCGAGGGATGATAAATGAAGGATACCCGACGAGGGTAAGATGGAGTCCGACAGGGAGCGAAAGGAGGTGGAGGGTGTCGGAAGTAGCGGAAACTCATTTCCTCGGTGGCGCTTGACTGAATAAACAAACATTAATTAATAACCTATCAAACGAAGCCCCGAGCCCCGGCGAGGTGCGTCTTTGAAGTGCGTTCCACTCGTAGCCACCCCCTGAAACCATTCCGGGAGTCCCGGGGGAAGGAACTACCCCGCAAGTTCTTCCGTCCTGGCGCCGTTTCGACGTCCTGAAAGCGTCTCGAGTGCTCGTTACCCGATCGAACTTCCCCCGAAAGGAAAACCGAAGGCGAGAAAAAGAAGCGCCCTGGAAATATCGCAAACTCGGGGGGCGGGAGAAATTGCTTCCAGACCCGCGGCCAGCTGCGCGGAAAGATTCCGGAAGGAATCGGCCGCCCTCGGGATAATTAAGGGAACTCTAAGACCCCCTCCCGGAAATTACGCCGACTTCGCAATTGTCCCTTCCGCCGTCTCGGGGAAAAGAGGGGCCATTTTCTTAGCGCTGCTGCGACTTCTCAAATTTATTTTTCAAGCCTCATTTTTTCGCCGCCTCTCCCCATCGATTCGATCGATCGCTGGTCGATCTCGATCCGCCTATACGCGACGTCCTGAAAAATGTCGCCGTCTCCCGAGGAATTTTTTTTTACCGTTCTTCCCCGTCCCCGAATCGCCGGGGACAAGTGCCCCTTAAATCTTGCCCGGAGTCGGCGATGGCCGCAATAACGGCGTCGCGACGCCGCCCGGACACAATGGAATCTTTATTCCCGGGGCGTACTTACGACGCAATTATGCCGGGGTCCTGGCTCTCGGTACTCTCCAGTGCGCCGCCTAACAATAACGGGCCGCGTCCTTTTTTATCCCGACGCGGGCCGACGCCCGGTGACGCCTCGCCGCGATTATATCGTACTTGTTGCTCGGCGTCCTTCCGGCCTCCTTTCGAGCTCGATCCCGATGGATCCCTTTTCCCCTTTCGGGGAGGGCGTAATGCAATTGCAACCTGGAAGACCGACCCGGGACCCGGAGCGTCCTTCGGGCTCCCCCGGGATGCGCGATGGAATCCCGCGGGATGCGATCCCCGCGTGATAAGAGATAACTCCGCCTCGGCACGTGCGAGCGTCCTCCCGGAGATTTATCGGCGATGCAACCGGATTTATCGCCCCGCTGCTTTTCCGCGCGGCTTTGCCGGATCCGGCGCCTCACCACGGGGAGCTGCATCCTTTTCCACGTTTTCTCTTTTTCTTCCGGAAACCGTCCAAGCGGCCTTCTCGGCCACGCTCATCCCGCGTTTCGCAACGGGAGCAACGACGGTGACGTAACGAAGTGCAGCTGCAGCGCGCGGCCTCGTTAAAGAAACACCTTTGGAGCACTCGGGCGCGTCGGCACCTTAAAACGCGAACGACGCCTTAAAAATACACGGAGAGACAACGACGGCGACCCCCATCGACGTCTCGACGCCCGGAACTCGCCGGATTGACGCATTACACCCCAATAAACCCGAAGGAGGCAAAAGAGGGGATGTTAAACGCTCACGAGACGCCGTTACCTCCCCTGCACTCTGCCCCGACCTGGAGCTTAACGATGCATCTAGGAAATCGGTAAAAGCTACGATATTAATCAACGAGGTCGTCTCGCTTAAAATGATAATTTTTTTTTTTCAATTTCAAAGAGAGACGATCGCATAAATATGAGGTAATTAATACAAGGACGGCGAAACATTACATAAATTATTTATGGGCGCAATTATTCGTTTGTTATAATCGCGCATCAGCGCACGATGGAGCACCTCTCTTTGCGATACCGGGGGTAATAACACTTATCCCATTGGTCCAGTACCGGTGCATTATCCCGAGGCCCGGGCGGAGACGGAAACGCATAAATCTTGAACATTCGGACTCGAAAATACCGCGCAGGGCCACTCGGGCTCATTAATCAATCGGACTGGCCGGGTGAAATTATTCGACAGTAATTAACTTGGCGAATTGCATCCGGCAAAGTCTGAAGGGATCGCGGGGTGTTCGACGGGTGGTGGGTGGCGGGCCGTCCGGGACGGCGACCGGGGATCCGGTTCGGGGGGCTGATGGAGCTGTTCTGGAATTATATGGGTTACTTCTGAAAACGGGGGAGAAGCAGCTTTTGCCTGGAAACTAATTTAACTCCACCGCCCTGCAATCCCAAGCCTGCGCGGTCCTTCGCGACTTCGGGGGAGACTTCCCCCGTTAACTCGAAATTCGGAAAATTGCCACCCACCCATTTCCCGATCCTGGTCCCGATTAAGTCTCAAGGAATCGTCGCTTCCAAGCGAGACGAGGCCTCGTTAGATTTTACCCGAGAATTGGATAAATTGGGAAATAAGCAATTTTCGAACCGTCGAAATTTAGGGAATCTTCGTTTTACGAAGCATCCGAGATCCGGTGAACGTCTCGTCGGATGGTTCACGTCGCGGGCCGAGGCACGGGGGGCAAGGTATAGACCGACGGGGTAAGGCAACCCTTGTCCTCCGGGGGCATGTTGACTTTAAAAATAGCCCGAGCAAGGTAAACGCAAAGAGCGAGGACTTTACGGCGTCGCAGATACGCGGAAGATACAGCACGTCTCCGATTGCTTTTCTTCCTCGGTCCCCGTCGATGGGGCGCGTTTCTCCTCCGAGGAACCGGTAGCTACCCCTTTCGCGAGAACCATCCCCTATCTGCCGCCTTTCTTCCCGCACACGTTTTTCTTTTGTTCGCCTCCTCGAGGGAGGGAGCTTTAGAGAATTAAGAGCCCATTCGCCTTTCATTAACTCGACTACCGGTCGGGGGTGCGATCGGGGTACGAAGCCAAGGGATGCTCGGGGCGCGTTAAACGGGTTGTCGAGTCTCACCCCGGTTTTCTCGTCCGCGAGAGAAATGGCCACCTGATTTTGCGTCGCCAAAATTTCAGGTGAAATGGCGCTCCTTTAACCGATCGGCAACGCTCAAATTTTTTTTTAGAAGTATTCTTTTCATTGTCAAATTTTTTGGAGTTCTTTCCGGAGAAAAGGGAGAAATGTGGGAAAACGGGGAGACGACTCACCGGGGTCCGTGGAAGGATGCGCTCTCATGAGCCTGCAGAGCTGCAGGGGCAAGTACCGCGTGTCCGCCCTGGGGGGTGACTTGGGGGGTGGCGGGGTGGCGCTGAGGAACCCTCGCTGCAGTTCCCATCCAACTTCCTGGATGATCGAGGCCTTCCGGAAGTACGGCGTCACCTCCCTCAGATACTTCACTGTAACCAGAAATAACGGCAACGATATACCACCGTCCTGGAAAAACGGGAAAAAAATCCGCTCGACCTCCGCCCAACCGAACCGAACGGCGAGAACGCGGAATTACCGCGGAATTCCGCCCGGTCGGTCGAGCTGCGGCAAGGACGAGGGTCGGCAAGTACAATGTAAATTATGCTCGCGAGGGGGCGAAATTCCGTCCACTCGGCCGAGGGGGTGAAGGTGTATTTCGTGATAAGCCCGGCTCGTCCGGACCGCGCTGCCGGAAGAGGTCGTTTCTTCGCCGGACGATCGGTGAATCGGTTCCCGATGACCGCTCTCTCGAGCCTTCATCGATATTTACAATCGATCCGGTATTAGGTCTCATTTCCGCGGCCGTAGTCCGCTTTACGAGCCCTTTTTACGGCGCGCCCCGCAGATGCGGACGCGCGTGCTCGCGCCCCGCTCGTTACGTACAGGACGACCCAAAGTGAATCCTGGACGTGGATTAAATGACGAGGACATCGCCATGACGACGATATCCTGTACACTATCCCTCGGATCCGGCGTCGTCGATCAAGGTATACATTTTTAGCGATTAATGGAAAAATTCCTTCTTCTTCGAGACACCGGAAAAACGGAACCCGAAGTACGGCAGGACAAACTACCGGAACATCTCTCCAAGAGTCAGATAATTTCTCGATGATCGGAAAATTAAAAAATAATCCTCCCCTCTTGCCGACCATCGCGGAGTATAGATCATAAAGAGACCTAAGTCCATAATTCTGCACCCGGTCGGGTGTTAGCTTCGATGACTTTTAACTCGCGATGCGTCGGGCTTGCGGCCTCGCGCACTGCAAATAAATCAAGCTCGGTACATACGTAAAAGTCGCAGGAGTTTGCCCGGGGAGGGACTTTCGTTGGTTTAACAGTTTAAACGGACTTTCATTCCGATCGGCGCGCGCGGGAGGCGTGTGCTCGACAGATTGCCAAGTTGCGTCGTAGTTTACTCGTGTAATACTCGAAACCCGGGCCCGAGATTTCGAAAAGGTAAACCACTTGGGCGCCCCCGAGTTTCCGGCATGGCGGGCGGAAAAGACGTCTTCACGCCCTGCCGGGCGGGCGAAAGCTTTCTCGCCCGGAACGAGGCAATGAGTCGGTATATTCACGTTTTCTCGAATTCAACGAGTCGTTCCCACCAGAGATGAGTTGGGAGATTGCTCACGGGCAGGGTCGCGCCTGTCACAACTCTGAGCAGCCGGAGGACCGGCTGAAAAAGCGAAGAACTCAAAAAAACTCCAAAACCCTGTATCTCTTCCGAAAAAAATCGCAGCCACTAGCTCGAGAGATCAATTTAAACCGATCAACCTTCCCCATCAAGCTACCGTGGACGCAATTCGCATCGCGAAAAAAATATGGTAAGGGATGTGTGTGAATTTTTTAAGACTTCATTTTTTTCCCTGAATTATAGATAAAAGTCTAGATTTTAAATCGAGCGTTGTTACGTCCGGCGCTATTTTTCTTTCGGCCAAAACTTGCCCACTTGGCGAAAGTGTCGCCCGAAGAAGGGAGAGAAAAAGAGAGACAAGCGCATCGCAAACTGGCCGATTTGCAGAGCATACGCGCGTGCTCTACGTGCACCGATCGAGACCAATGGTCCGTTTACCCTGTTGAGCCAACGAAAGTCGTCCTCCGGGTAAACTCCGCCGACTGTTACGTATGTACCGAGCCTGATTTATTTAGATTTCGCGAGGCTGCAAACTCTGAAACACGCGCGTATCCCGCTCGTCGAAAGCATTCGAGGGTGCTCGGAGTCCCACTCGGGGATCGGTGGCTTCTTTCGAGCACTTGGGGATACATTTTCAACGACTTCGGGACTAAATGATGAACGAGGGCGCGTCTTCCCTCCACCATGGGGGAGAAAAACGCCCTGAAAGATCTCGTTTGATCCGTAAAAAAAAATTAATAAATCTGAATTTAAAAATGGAAGGAGTTCAACGTGAGACGTGCTAAACATTTAAATCTTTTTCAACGTTTTAACGGAGCTGGAAAAGTGATCGCGCCATTTATGGTTTCATTACGGTCGCACCAGGCATCGCTCGCTCTTGGTCCATTGGCCGTGTGCAAATGGGTGAGGCTTTATGACGACATTAACATACAAAGAAAATTAATTTCCGTTTTGTAACGGTATCGCCGGTGCAGCGATGTCCGGTTCCCCTTGGCAGGTGATAACCAGATAGCCGACTGGGTGATAGCGCAGTTACGGGCATATCGAACGCATAAACAGCGCCGGTCCTCGAAAAGATAAAGGCTATCGGCCATCGATAGTCGAGCTCGAAGGCATTCGCCCTGCGTGACTTCCGCTTCCGGGGGCTCCGAATTTTTCCGCGATTAAAAATGCAGCGGATTATATCCTAGATTAGACGAGGCCTCATATCCGCTCCAGTTTGATTTATCTTCCTTGAACAGCGAGCTATTTCGAGGCACTTTTCCCCCTTGGGGTAGCGAAGAAACGCGATGGTGCCTTTTTAAGGGCGCACCTACGCTGGTACCTTCTTAAGGGTAGAATTCCCTTCAGGGCTTTAGAACTTTTTCTAGCTTTTGCAAATTTTTCTGCGACGTTGACTCGCGAGCCGTCCATGTGCGTACGAGTGATATGGTGTACGCACTCGGCATACCTGTACGCGAGTCCATGCATAAAACAGGGACCGAGAGGGGTGGAATTTATGCGTGGCCACGGGTCGGGCATTACGCATCCGCAAGTGTATATGCGCGCCTTTATGTCGGTCTGGAGGCGCGTTACGATAATACGGCGATCGCAATAATGGGCAGCTTTAATCCGCCCGTGAAAAAGAGAGCGAAATTATGCTCGATCGAGCTTTATCGCGGTATCACGCGAGATATCGAGAGAAATCGCCCGATGCCTGGCCCGACCTTAAAAATCAGCGGTTCAATTTCTACAATAAATTGAAATTATTCCTGATGATGTTACAAAAATACTCATTTAGTGGGTTTAATTAGAATCCCGTGATTATATTACAATTTATATCGGGCGAAGGGAGAGTTGGAAAATTCCGGCGGAAATTCGGGCAAGAAAAGCTAGCAAAGCTCGAGGTTTACGGGGTGCGTCGATCGACGTGCCACTCGGGGGACGATTATATCATCGGGCCGGACCGTCGAGCCCCGGTAATCCAAAGTTTACACGGGCATTATTATTTTTCGTCACGCTATCGCGCCAATAGGTCACGCGCGGGCATGGCCGATACCGTGCTAAGCACGCGCGTTATTTGCCGAACGGTTTTACGGCTATTTGCAATACTCCACCGGTCGTACGTTTCCGCGGGGACCGGCACTTCCGCCGTGAGCGATAACGAAGTCATCACTGTATTAATCCAAAAGTGGAAACGTGACAAATTTTAGATCCAGGATATTTAAATTCGGAGTTTTAAATTTAGATCGCTGGAGTGGTTCAGGATAAATTGGCAGGGCCTCGATCGGAATATATCGTAACACTTTGGATGTTTCCGAGATCGAGATCGAGAACGGGGATATACGGGGATTCGGACTGCGAATGGCAGGGATATGGGAAAAAACGGAAAATGGCCCTCGGACTCGGATGCACCGAGAGAAGGCGAGGGAGCATCGCCGGATCTCGCCCATCGATGTTCACAAAGGGAAATCGGGCAGACCGAGCAGGAAGCCGATCTGCCCGGCTCGATATGACGGAAGATATTTTTAATATCCGGGGAAGCTCGGAAGAATATATATGTACCGTGGCCCCTCTTCCCAGGGAATCGAGGGAACGCGATCGAGGGTGCTGAAATTGGCCGGAAATCGGCGGATCCTGTCCTTATGAAATTGTCGAATCCTCGGCGATCGATATTCCTCGAGTTAATTACCTATTACCGTAATTAAAAACGTCGACGGATGGACGGTTCATCTAGCGTTTATTTAATCGCGCAGCGGGTGGAACAAATCGGAGACTCGAAAATGTGGATCGGATACATGGGGGAAAAGCGGTCGAATCGGTGCATGAAAATGTCACAGGAGTAAATAGGCGAACGTAGGAAATTACTCGAAAATCGACGGGCGGAATGTGAAAATTCGAGATTCCCAGCGATTTCCGACTTTCGATGGCCCAATTCGAGATTTTCGACAGTCGGTCGCGGATCGGCGGAGCCGTTGAATTTTACACCCAGCAGGGTAAATTAATGCTAATCGCCGTGCGCATGGCGCTGATTGACTAACGAGAAGAACTGCATTTCCGGCAGGTGAATTTAGGGAAAGAATTCGCCCCTTCCGCGAAAATCGGAAAGTAAATTCCAGGAACGAAGAGAAGGGGAACGTGAATTTCAACGAGGCAAATTTATCGGAAGATTACTAAGTGCTCGAAGAGCGGATAGTTCGTCGTGGAATCATACCGACGGTTTACTTTCGTTTTCAGAACGGTCAAAAGACTCCGTTTAATATCAAATGCCAATTCGGATAATGGACCCCCACCGTATAGAAATCGTTAATTCCGATCGAACTAAAATCAAGCCGGGTTACCCGATTAATAGAAACGGCAAACAACATGAAACTCATTACTTAACCAGGAAAATGGGTAATCCCGGAAAATACACGGATATTATCTGATAATCTACCGGCATTACAGGAAATATAATAAATGTTCCCGGAGTACACTATCGATTCTACTCCCTGTATTCGGGTTAGCGAAACGAGCCCGTCGATTCAGATTACAGGTTCCGCGTTTAAACTTCAAACATTGTGCCATTGCGTGAGCTCGCATTTCGGTGAAAATTCGATTGAAACTCTGCCCGAAATTCGGGGGTTAGAAAAATCGCCCATTTTCTTCAGCCCACTCGCGCGTTAATTTGTCCAATTTCTTTGGATTCTCGGCCTCGCTCCAATTTTATTTTTTATCCATTAACCATTTTATTGTAAGAGCAAAATATAGTTATATCCGGAACCGGAGAAACGTGTCCACCAGAAACGTGTAGAGCCCCGAAGAGGACCCTGACGC